CTCACATGCTTAAGTGCTCTCCTGGAATGGGGCTGGGGCAGGCCTCACGCTCCCAGAGCGCAGGGGGCAGCTGCAGGTTGAAAGTTGCATGTCCTGACTTCTGGTGACTTTTTAAAATGTTGTGATCTCGTCCCCTTGAGGAGGCACATGGGCGGCTGCTGGTGCTTGGTGGGAGACACTTTTATCATGGACAGTACAGATGGCTCTGAAATGGGAGAAGAGTACCTGGTGCTTTACCAAGGGTTAACGCCGCAGGCGCTGGGTCTACAGTTCTGAGAAATGTTGTTTTCATGACCAAATAAAGTGACTATTTGCAGGCTAGTGCAGATTGGACCGAAAGTTTCAGAGTCCTCAAATCACAGTAGCTGTTGGTTGGGTTTAGGTTGAGTGGTTTGTTGTTAGAGGCTTTTTCTGTGTGTGTTTCAGCGAGACATCTAAAATCTCCCCCCTGGACACTGTCCCATTGACAGCCTCTTGTCCCTTCAGAGCGTGTGGCCTAGCCAGGCACAGAGAACGATGAGTGATGATGTCACAAGGTGGGGGCCAGTAATAAGTTGCTAACTTTAGCAGATGCCCACTGAGCGTGCTCAGAAGTGATTCTTCGGTCACTTCGAACATGGTGTTCCCACCCTCTTGTGCTCAGGGAGGGTTTTGTCCAGCTCAGGTTTCAAGCTTCAGGCACGTTTGACATACATGGTGTGGGACCGGCTGCCAATGTGGACTGTAGCCGGACTCTACCTCCAGGAAGTGACGTTTGCTCAGCCTTTCCAGAAACCTGCCCCTGCCAGGCAGAGACCTGCTGCTGAGGGGGTTGAATGTTTGTTCCCTTAGGCTACAGCCTGAAATTAAAGAGGGGGCATTGAGGCTTGTGTCTGGGGTGAGTTTACAGGTGTATTAGCTCACCCTGCCGTAACACGACTCAGCACTACAGTTCAGGCAGCCCCTCAGCAGTGCTTTGAGCCTTAGGGCTCGTGGAAGCAAGTAGTGCCTTTGTACGCCAGTGATTCCTGTCAGCTCCTCCTCCCACTGGGAGAGCTTTGCCTGCTACCCAGGAAGGGCTAGATGGGGGTGAGGTGAGGGATAATAAATAAATCTGAAACAAAGGAGAAATTGAGGAGAACAATTGTGAGGTTAAGACACTGGACTGGGAGTCAGAAGGCCAAGTTCAATTCCTGGCTGTGCCACAGATCCGCTGTGTGGCCTTAGGCAAGTCACCTGATCAGTCCATGCCTCTGTTTGCTCGCTGCTGAACGGGGAGGACAGCCTTTGGCTCCCGTGCATGGGGTGCAGTGAGGCTAAAGTGAGTGATGTTTGTGAAGTGTGTGGAAATGCTTGGGCGAAAGGCACTACAAAAGTGCAGGTTAATGCAGTTAATAACCACGGGAAGTAAAGAACTCCAGCAGCATTGCACCCTGGCTGACTCTGGCCTGTCTCTTGGACAGAACCACCTCAGAAGAACCAGGATTTTAAATCCCGTCTTTGGATAGACTTCTCTCCAAGTGAGGGGCAGAGGGGGAATCTGAAGATGAAAACATTATCAGACAAAGCCCATGAAGTAGTTCATTCTACTCCTCAAAATAGCACAAGCCCGAAGTGCTTGTGGGATGGAATTTGGTGTTGACACAAGCCAACATCCCTGTTCAGCTGTCTTATGGGAGTCCTCAGAGTAGCTGTTTAATCAGTTTCACAATCACATTCACCTTTGTACTTTCAGAGTTCATTGGGGGGGCATCTCGGCTTTCCCTGCTAACCCCTGCTGCACATTGCCAGCAGGCCAGCCCTTCCTCAAGAGGGAAGTCTTGGGGATTAGCAGCCACTGCCCAGACCTGAAGAGGCCCCAGGCATCCAACATGTTCCTTCCCTTTCCCCTGGCAGTCACCCACCTGCATGTGGCACCACAGCAGTGGGTGACTTGGAAGGGGTTTCCGTCTGGGTGTGGCAGGAGGCACATTCTCTTTCCTGACTTCCTCCTACGCAGTAGTGGCTACAAGAGCCTTGTTTCTCGCTGGTGTCACAGAGACGTGAGGCTGCTCTTTGCAGTGACGAACCTTGGTAGCTTTAGGAACAGCTGGAAACAAAGGGCGGGGGGGAGTCAGTATCATGTGGGTAGCCAGGTCTTTAACAGTCCCCATGGGCCACAGACCACAGCTTAGAGCTCTCTAGTGCATGCCTGACAGCCCTCAAATACCCCCAGTGGAGTGCGCCTCAACAAACCATCCCTGTTGTCTAACAGCCCCAGCCATGGCATGCTTGGAGTATCCTTGATCAACCCCCTCCAAATACCCCGGTAAAACAGAGGCACAGCTCGGGTGGGAGAGAGCTGAGGGGCGGTGGACAGAGGAAGATTTAGCAGCTGTGATTTCCTTGTGGGGCCGAGGATGAGGTGGGGAGACGGGGAGGGTGTCACTGCAAGGAATGTCCTGCTCTTTTGGACCCTGTCTTTCTCCTTTCTGAACTGCAGCCCCTCCCCGCCAGGCAGTGCCACCTGAGCCAACCTCCCAGTAGGAATTGCCTGCCCCCCCGGGATGTTGGGTCATTCTCGTTGGGCCCAGGGCAGGCAGATGGGAAGGATTCCTGCCTGTGGGAGTGGCTGGGCTGGGCTGGTGGGAGCTGCAGGGCAGTGGGTAGGGAGGGAATGCCTTGGAAATGGCTGACATAGGCCCTTGTTGAGCTGGCGTCAGTCAGGTGTTCCCACAGGGTTTACAAGCACCTAGTGAATTGTAGGGAAGGAAAACCTGCCCAGCCCCGGTGCCAGCGTCCTTTAGTGCCACCCCCCACAGTACTCCTGGGAGAGCGAGTTCCAGGGGTGCCCTGGCTAAGCCGGGCAGTGATTTGGGGCTAGTGATGGCACCAGGCGGTGCCAGGGTTTGTAGGGCAGAGCAAGCCTTGCTAACGCTGACCTTCTCTTGCTCCCTGGTGCCAGGAGATCGACGGCAAAGCCTTGCTCCTGCTGCGGAGCGACATGATGATGAAGTACATGGGGCTGAAGCTGGGTCCGGCGCTGAAGCTCACCTACCACATTGACAAACTTAAGCAAGGCAAGTTCTGAGAGGACTCTTTGCGGGACAGCCCGTGGGAATGCCGGGCTCCTGGCCACACCCAGTCGCGCCCCCCTGCAGACTGGCACGCATGCATCCACCGCAGGCAGACACGGCCCAGAAACGCCTGCAGATCACTACATGGATCCACCATCCCCCCTCCTTCCACTGTCAGGAGCACAGTAGGCATGTGAAAGGAGACCATTTGTTGGCTCCCCGGGGACCAAACAGAGCTCGCCTCATGGACGTCCTGACGCAAACAGAAGAACCCTTTCCTTGCTCCTCCGCTGACACTCATCTGAAGAGCCCAGTCCCTCTGCACCCGAGGGGACGAAGACATCCTGTGTTTCGCGGAGTTCTTCAGCGCCCTGGGCTTCTGTGGTGCTGGATCCTTTCCCCTTTGTTCCCCTGCAGGAGTGCGACTCTCACGTCTTTCCTCTGCCCCGGTTCCCTTGTCTCTCCTGGCTGTCTGGTCTGGCCTCGCCTTGTTTCCTCACTCTGTATCAGATGGACAGCTCTGCTGCAGATCTTACGATGCTGGCATTTTCCATGCCAGGCTGGGCAGGACAGGCTGTGAGAACCCAACTCCTGGAGTTGCAAATCCACTCCGAGTAACACTATGGCAAGCTTAAAAGACTGTGCACCCTGTTCCCAGCCCTCCGTGAAGGGCTGTGTGCGGGGGACTGCAGCCCAGAGCATGGTCACACAAGCCTGCTAGTCCTGCTGTCTTGACAGAGCAGCCTTTCCTCCTTGGCTGGGTCCTCCTGCCCCGGGAGGCCCGTAGCTGGTGAACTTCCTCATGCTGGCGATGCCGAGGTGGCAATTCCTTTGTATTTATTTCTGACAAGGCGGGAAGCTCAGCTGGGGCAGACACCATTGAGAGCCCAGAACGGACTGTTAGCGTGGGCTGTGGGCTAGGAGGGCTGGGCGCCCTGTTGAATTCTTCTCTCTTTTTAAGGGGTCATCTGTTTAGGAAACAACAATGAAATGTTTTTGTATCTGTTATGAAATCGCAACCCTCAGAGCTCTTTACCCAGCAATGTAAAGGTTCGTCTGTCCAGATGGTACTGTTAGAATGGCCTTACCTCTCCATTTCATTCTGTCAACCATCAGCAGGTTCCAGGGGTGTGTGACCGGGGCTGGCTGTGTGACAGCAGGATCAGAACTTCTGGGAAGGCCGTCCCTCTCACTGCCCTTCCTGGGCCTGTCCCAGCTCCCGGTCGGCACAGCTTGTTTCAAGCTGTTTAATGTATTTATTTGTGATGGCACTTGAGCAGTGACCCACTGTCCCATGTCTGAGTTGCTGCAGCTGTAGAGAAATGAGGTGGAGAAGAACGTAGCCAGGTGCCCCACACCTGCCATGGGGCAGGAACCTGCTCCCTAGGGAGCCAACAGAACTTTTTCATGAACTCTGATGGGAGCAGGCTCTTCATCACAGCTGTTAGAGCCCTGCAATGGAAAACAAGGGCTGGGTAATGCCCTGCACAGTCTCACTGCCTGGTGTGTGACAAGCAGAGGGAAGACCTGCCATGCCTCTCAGTGTGCGCATGAGTCAGCTCGAGGGCATGGTGGGGCTTGAGCACTGGCCTGCTACCCATACGCTGAGAACATTGCCCAAATGGACAGGATGTAGGGAAATGTCCATCACAAGCACTTCTTTCCCCTCCTGCCTTTCCCTCTTGCCATCTGTCCTCTCCCAGCCAGGGGCTCCCTGGGTCAAAGGGCCACGGGAGCTCTTATGTGGCTCTGCTTTACCCCTAAGGGGAAATTGGAAAGAAAACCCAAACGTAATAAAAGGCTGTTTGTAAAACAAGGTCTCTGCTCAATCCTAGCGGCTGTCCCCAGCACAGCACGACGAACCGGGTGAGGGGCTCGGCCTTGTCGCTCGTCCCATGGCCAGCGGCAGCACAGGAACCTCCTCCTTGGTTTTCACATTTCCTTTGCTGCTGTCCAGCTGCAGACGTGCCTCTCGCAGGCAGGTCCCAATGCAGTGCAGCCCGCGTGCTCCTCGGCACTTACTTTCTGTTGAGTTGTTTATAAATAAAAGAATAACAACGTTCCTCGGCTGGCTTTGTCAGGGGGTTAGCGAGGCCCAGTCTACAGGGCTGTCAGCCCCCCACGCAGCCTGGGAGCTCCCCACCCAAGGCGAGCAGGGGTCTGCCCCTGCACTGTTGCTTCTCCACCAGGGAGGGCGCGCTCTGCCGCTGGAAGCTTGTTCTGCCGGAGGCTGCAGGCGCGTACAGATTGGAATGAGCCCTTGGCAGGCTCCAGCCCAGTCTGCTTGTACATCCGGCTCCTGAGCATTTACACCTTTGAAACTATCGCAGCCAATGCAATCCAAGGCAGTGCCTGGCCGGTCTGCGAGAGTGTCTGCCTGCGACAGCAGCTCGCCTGACTTGGGATCACAGAACTGAAGTTCCCAGCAGTAGATTGTGATTAATCCCTGGAACCTTTCAAACTCTGTCAGTGTCTTTACTGCCCCTCTCCTCACCTGCCTCACCTCTGTCTGCATCTGGGGGAGTCCCAGGCATCTTGGGGAATTGACAGGGAGGAGCCAGTCATTCCCAGGCCTGAGCTGGGGTACTCGGTGCATTGCCTGGCACCTGCTTTCCTCCTTTGTTTCTCCCCCAGGTGCTGCTGTTGCAGTGCTGGGCCCAGTGAGAGTGTGGGCCAAGCTGGGCAGCGCAGGGAGCTCGAATCCCAGACCTGCTCTGGTAAGTGCAGTCGATTTACCACCAGAACCAGCCAGCCTGTCTCTGGCCACAGGCTGCCTACGTCCTCACGCTCTGCACATCCCTGCGTGCCAGACGCTGCCACAGGCACCGTCCCTGCCCAGAGCTCCTTCCCCTGGCTGCTCGGCTGCAGACGCTCCCACGGCGGCTGTGAGCGTAACTAGGCTCGGCTGCCCCGACTGCCTTGTCCAGGGCAGCTCCCTGCTGGGATTTCATCACCGAAGCCATCTGGTGAGGGGTGCAGATCAGGCAGGGTCCGAGTGCCCTGGGCGCTGCATTGCTCACGCTTTGGGACTTGTGACGCCTGCTAAATGAAGTGCCATCCCCCAGCCCCTGGGCGGGGCGAGCTTCCCGCCCCACAGCTGTGTCCGCACAACGCGGTGCCAGGAAGGGGTTGCTCAGTCTCAGGAGCTGGGCGGAGAAGTGATTTTGCCACACACCAGCAGAAGGGGACAGCCAGTAATGGGGCCAGCCTTTCCTCTGGCCTCGCCCGCCCCGCCCCGCCCCAGGGCCTGGTACAGGAGATCAGGGCGTGATCCCCATGGCGTGGTAAGAGGATGGGCCTCAGAGCTCGAGGCAGCGCCAGTCCCAGGCCTAGAGGCAGGAGCGCTGGCAGCTGGTGCTGTGATTGCAGAGCTAGTTACCCTCGGCGGGGGGCACCTGGGAGAGCTTCGCTGGTCGCCCCCCCTCCTCTGCCTCTTCCTCACGCGCTGCTCTGCTCCTTCCTCGCTCCGCTGCTTCCTCGACTCCAGACCCTCACTGCATTGCTCTGCCCCCCCACGTTCCCCCCTCGCCCCGGCAGCCCCACGTGTCCCCCAGCGCCCCGGCATCCCCTTGTCCCCCCTCACCCTGGAACCCCACGTGTGTCCCCCCCGCATCCACCCTAGCCTCGGCACCCCCATGATCCCCCCGCTTCTGCCCTCGCCCCAGCATCCCTGCATACCCCCCCACGTCCCACCTCACCCCCTGCATCCCCCATGTCCCCCTGGCATCTCCTTGTCCCCCCTCGCCCCAGCACCCCCACATCCCCCCCGTGTCCGCCCTCACCCGGCACCCCCACCTGACCCCCCCCACGCCCCAGCA